CGGAGTCCCGTATTGACAATCGACCGCGGTGTATCGACAGGCGCGCATTTTTGAGAAAAGTACGATTCTCTGATTTGTCAACGTTCAGAAATCAAAGTAAAAATCGATGTTCTTCCCGTCTTGTGAAATTTTATTCAGACACTTTTCTCGCACAATAAATAACATTTGCTTGTCGCGAATATTTGTTTCGTAATACATTTGCGAGAGAGCGGTCGCATTTTAACACAGTTACATCGAGAACAAAAAGAGCACACGCTGCACGCGCACCGAAGAAACAGGAAACTCGTCCCGGGAATGAAAAGGAAAAGAACAGCGAAAAGAAATGGCTTTTTATTAAATAGAATAGCGCTGTCGCGGATTGGAGGATATTACATTAATATGTACATCACGGTACCGTTGGCAACGTTCCCAAGCCTTGTCAGTAATGGCACGCCAATTTCTCGGAAAAGTAGAGGATGCAAAAAGAGAAACCACGGCGCGCGAGAGAGTCGATTTTGTCAATATCGACAATGCGCGATGCGCGCAATGACGACAGGGTGCTCTTACGAGGTTATTATTTTGTCGGAAAACACACAAAGAGAGAGAGCGATGTTGTGACGATAATTGACCGGCCGCTCGAAATCGCGGAAAAAAAACTCTTTGCGGAAGAGATAGGCGAAATCGAGGGGGAGGGAGAGGGAGGAAACATCGCGTTTGACGATTTGATTTTATCGATTTAATGTCACGTAAAACGAACGTGAAACTTATACAGCGCGGAATCGCAGATAACGTTATACCCTCGCGTTATATCTGTTGAATTATTGGTCGCCGGTCGTACTCTCCGCGAAGCACTAATCTCGCCCCTCGAGTATTATCTCGCGGTTCCATTAGAGAGATTATGTTCGCGGACATGGTTGTGGCGGGAGTGGGCGGAAGAGAGAGAGAGAGAGAGAGAGAGAGAGAGAGAGAGAGAGAGAGAGAGAGAGAGAGGGAGAAATAGATAAAATGTGTGTGCGCGCGACATAATCGCCGAAAACTGGAGCGAAACGGAACGCGCTCGGTCGAACGGCGAAAATCTGCTCCGACAATTATTGTTACCCGTTCGCAATGGACTTCGACGCGACGTTGCTCTTCTTCCCCTCCGTCTCCGATCGGAGTTGGCGCTGCCAATGTGGTGTAACTCCGTCTCGAGCAAAAGTACGGTTAATGACGTCCCGTTTATCGTCACGGTGAATTATCGCCGGCGCTACGGTGAATTGTGACGCGGATTGCCGCGCGCGCGGTATATTTACGATCTAGAGATCAAGAAGCTCGCGCGCTTCTTTTATCTATCTTTCCAGTTTTCCGAACAACAAGGTTCGGATAAATGGGACAACGGCGCAAACCCCTTGGTGCTCGCGCAAGAAGAAATACTTCGGGGATTTAGAAACCTTACATTTGATACTAATCCGCGGTAGTGTGTACACACATGTGACAACTGAACCGTAAATGTTAAGACCCGCGCACACTTGACTTGTCTCTCCCTTCTGGTTTTGTGCAACGCTGGCTTTGCTTTCTTGCGCTCGCTCCGGAGTATAATAGCGGCGACAATGTACCGAGTCGAGTGTGAAACCCGAGCGTCGAATACTCCCGGGCAAACACACACGCGGGCGCTAAGATCATATTTCTATCTTTCTTTCGCTCTTGTTCTCCACTCTCTCTCTCTCTCTCTTTTTTTATACCTCCCCTTCGGTACCCATTTCTTCGCGACGGAGTCGACAGTTTTATCGCTTTTCTCGTGCGAGAGAAAGCCGCAAGTCGCCGGAAAGATTGCGGTTTCGCAAGAGAAAGAGAGAGAGAGAGAGAGACAGAGAGAAGTTGACTTTATTAGACGCGCGCGAACGAAAAGGGAAAGGAGAGAGAATTAAAGGAGCTCGTTTCTTGGGGTGAGAGGGAAAATTAATTCAATTCAATTCAGTTCACCGAGGAAAGTGACAAAATGATATGGACGCGAGTAGACGAGGGAGAAATGTATATATTAGCTTGTTTCGGCGAGAGACGATGCGAAAGACAAACCGCCGTCGTCGTTTCATTACGGTCGCGAACAATCGCGAAACGAGGGTGAGAAAGCCTTGGAATTTTATCGGACGAGTTTAAGATCGCCCCAGTCAATCAGGCTCTGAATTAAGGAAGCCTTTCGGGATGGTCTCCATGACTACCATCTTCTCTCCCCCGACTTGTATCCCCGTTTCTGTCCGCCCTTAATACAGTCACTCCTTTCTCGCTCCTCGAGCCGGTGGGGAAAGGTCATGGGGTCAGGTCTGAAATCTCTTCCCGGTTGCGGCGCATTCCCGGGTGCAACTACTCGTCAGCTTCTTTGTTGATTATCGCGCGGCTAATCTGACGCCAACGGCAAAGCGCGCGGGATAAGCTGCGAAAAGTCTCTCCCGCGGACGCGGACCGACGTTTCTAATTCGCCCGATCGTGATTAGTCTCTCAATTTGGCGCGCGTTTTTTGCGTCTGTTGTGTCAGCGCGAAAACGAGCGCAAAATATTTTTAGTCGATCGCGCGCGTCACGTAAATATGCTTTAATTACACTTTTATTCGTTTGGGAAAAAAGAAAAAGAGAAACAAAGTAAACAAAACGAGAAATGCAAATGGAGTAAACAAGAGGGGTGTGTGTACCTAGCACCATTGAAAGAAACACACACATACACATAAACATACACGACACGCTCTAACTCACCGGGGTTTGAAAACGTATTCTCGTGGAATACAACGTGTTCGGAAAATATAGCGAGGAGATCGATAAACCGCACATACATAGCTCTCACCAGTGTGTGTGTGTGCGAGAGAGAGAGAGAGAGAACTAATACACACTGACAGACAGGTGCATGCGCCCCGGTGCTTCGTATGCGGACTGTGGCATCACCGGCAAAGCACCAACCGGTGCATTTCCGACGCGGAGCGAAATCGGATGTTGCGTACAGTACGGATGCCGAAACTTAAGCTTCTCGACACTCGAAAGTGTGATGTAAAAAATTCAAATGTCATTTTCGAAATGCGAGGAAGAATCGAATCTCCTTGAGAATCGAGAGAAATGCGTTTAGCGCGCGAAGCTTTTGTCATGTCACTTTTTGAAATGGACAAAAAAATTTGCGAGCTATCTCGACAATAATTTAATGAAATTATATTTAAGAAAATTAAAAAAATGTTTATTTACAAGAATGTTTATTTTACAAGAATGTTTATTTACAAGAATGTTTATTTACAAAAAAATATTTTCTCTTTCACACATAAATGCATTCCACTTTTGTTCTTTTCGTTTTTCAACCGAAAAACTTGGCGCCGCGGTCTCCGGTTTTGCATTCCGCTGCAATCTCGCGTCATTTCCTCGCAACGACATTCCGGTGGGAAACTACTTTCCTCGCTTCACGCTCACTTTCTTCGATGTTGTTCCAGGGGTACGCGAACGGGACACGGTCAGTTACCTGATTTCTAAATTTGAGAACGTTGTGCAAAGACTGTGGTTTCTTGTTGCGATCTTTTACCACGATCTCGCGTATATTTTGTCTTTATATATATATATTCTTGAAAGAACAAAGAAATTGCTCTCGTAATTTTATTTTTGCACAACGCGACAAATTGCGTATTGGTGAAACAATAATCTTTCGAGCGCGAATATTTTGTGTGTAAAAAAATAAAAGTTTTCATTTAAATTGTTTGCTATCAAATCCGAATAAAACATTACGGTCTCTACGAAGAGAACAACCGACCGCGGCATTAAATGTGGAGTAGAAACACTCACGTATTTAATCCACTTCATTAGAGATTGTTTACTTCGAGGAGAAGTGATCAATCAACTCGCAACCGGTTATAGAGGAGTCGGGGGATGGAAGGGTGAACTTTTCCACTTTCAAAAAGAGAAAGAGGAGAGAGAGAGAGAGGAACTTTGATCCTTTCTTTTGTGCTGCGGGAGTTGAGATCTCTTCGCGGTGCGTACTTATTTATGCCGTCTGAAAGCTTCATGTGAAGCGCGAGCGTAAAAAAAAAAGAGAGAAAAAAAAACACGACCACTCCGGGCGTAACTGAAAAAGTTAACGCGATTAGAAGCGGCCTTTGTGCCGTACACGGCATTTCCATTCGAAGCCCTCAAACGGAAGCGCGCGCGTTACACGTTTGAGCAAACATTGCATTCTTCAATTTGCGCGAGAAACTGCGTTATACGCGCGACGAACGCGGCTCAAGAACACTCGTTAACTCGCAAGTATCGTCATCGAGTGGAATAATTTTCATCGATCGAAAACACCCGGTCTATATATCTCTCTCTCTTTCTCGAACGCTCTTCGACTAAAGGAAGATTGTGCGCGACGGCGGCCCGCCCACGCTCGCGCGCGATATTTCGTCCGATAAATCAGGACTACCCAGTCACATCATTAAGACGAACCCTTCTCAGTTACGCGCTCCTGTGCGACAGTCGTTTTATGTTCGAGGTTGGATGCGAGATCCGTCTCAGTCACGCGTCACTCCGATAGGGAGAATAAAAAATTCCCCGCATCTTCCCACGCGAAAGAAAACGCTCGTGATAAGACGTGTAACTTCGTCTTAAAAAAAAAAAAAAAAAAAACAATAGGTGTGCAATAATTGCAGTATGTTTGCCGAGATATCGCACGCGGAAACTGAAATCGAACGCAAGGATCTACGCAAAAAAGGTGAGATTGCCAATTTTGCGCGCCACTTGTTTCTCGCACCTCTGTATACATACTTCCTTCTCTAACCACACACTGTGTGTAACGCAATGCATTGATGTCTTCGAGAGAAGCGGTAGGAGGCTTTTTTCTCTTTACTCTTGTAGAGCGTAGAGAAAAGACAGAGTAAGAGGAACTCTTGCTCGTCTCTCCGGAAGGCGTTGATGCGTCGCGATGTACACAACATACAACGGTAACAAAAGCGCGTGTGACACGCGATGCGTAACTCTGTGCACGTGCGTGCGTGCGTGCGTGCGTGCGTAGCTTTAATCGTCGGGTTTGTGCTGTTGCAGCTGCGGAAGCCAGTGTCGACTCTCTCGATCCCGGGGGCGATGAAGAATAGCGGCGGGGTGGCCGGCGGGGGCGG